AGAATCAGGGTGTACACACACACACAGACACACACGCACACAGAGCAACACAGCAATAGAAGACTGCGAGTTCATCTGTCACAAAATTAAAAGCCTAGGACAGCTGGCAAATCACAGCGGCTCTCTCTGGCTCGGAGGTATAGAAGATCTCCACGGGATGTGTCCGGCCAGGGATGTTGAGCAGGGGAGCATTGTCCTGCGGCAAGGAAGCAGCAACCGGGGAACCTTCGTTTCAAGGCCGAGGCCCAGACGAAATATCCCTGCATCTTCTGAGCATCCATCGTTGCCGACCTCTGCAGGCATTGCATCAGCCTGGAAGGCTCGAACTGGTGCTTCCAAGAGGCATGACCACCAACTTGAGATCTGGTCTCCGCTTCATAACCTCTTTGATAAGCCCAAATAGAACCTGGCAGAATTGGACATTGAACTGATATGGGTTCACGGGATGCTTTCTTGTGAGCGGCGTCTGTTGCGAGAGTTCGTTCGTGAGCTTCATCCAGGATGATTACGCTGTACTTCGTGAGCAGCGGATCTGTCATGGCTTCTCTCCTCGGGGATCGGATGGCTTCTCTTCCCATTGAAGCCGACGCACAGCAGCTTGTCACTACCATGACCAGCCGAGGTGCAGCAGCATGCCATCCTTGGCTGAATCAATGAAGATCAAGGCTGCTGCGGTTTGCAAGCAAGGGCTACGAACCAGAAACTCACATTTTCAGCATGCTGCTGTCAGGAACTTTAGGATCGTCTCTGGGGAGGTCTTGTCCTGCACGGTATGCAAAACAACAAGACCCACATGAAGGTCATTATGTCTTCACCTGTTTTCACAGTCCTCGAACCGGATAAGGTAGCCAACGTGCGCTCCAAGGAACGTGTCTAGCTCATCAGCTACTCTTTGGGCTACCTCTGATGGCAGAGAGGAGCAACAAAATCCAAACAGCCTTTTCTCGCTACTCATGCCGACGACCCACTGAAGGGCAATTTCTCGTCGAGGCACACTCATCGCAGCCACTCTCCGAGGCTGTGTGCAGGCAATACCTGACTCCACTAGCTCAATACCTGACTCCACTAGCTCAGCCGTCGGATCCATAAGCTCTCCGGCACTCTGGTCTGCGTGGTGGTTGTGGCAGAGAGCATCTTTGCTACAGTTATTGTCATAGTGCGAAAATGACTTCGGAGGACTGTTCGCTGGTGGCGCTCTGCTGTTTGACGCTGGCAGGTGGGTTTGTTGCGTACAGTTGGCAGCGATTGTCCAAGGCCAAGGCTGAAGTTTGCTTCCAAGGCATCATTTAGAACGGCGCTGAACTAACTAGTGCTTATTCCGCCTTAGCGTCCGAGCTAGTGGCCTTGTTGGTTACCATCGCAGATGTCCAAATTTCACCGAGCAGTGAGCAGTGTGCAGCCGAAGCAGCCTTTGGATTTGTCTCCCTGCATGTGGTAGCCAGCCTGAAATGACCCAAACAGGCTATGATGCTGGCCAACACAGTACTAAGAGCATGCAACAACGGCTTTGTGTATAACCATTAACACGTGCAAAAGCACGAATGCCAGCTCACTCACTCACTCACTCACTCACTCACTCACTCACACGCACGCAAAGACGGCACTTGTTTATTTGTTCGCTTATTGATGTGTTTATCTATTGATTTATCCATGCACTCATGTCTTTCTGTATCTAAACATCGATGTTTAGCTATACTTATGTTACTTATGTTTATACACGTGTAATTACATGTCCAACTTCTCCAGACTCCCAGCACCGGCCTCGAGGAGGAACTGCGGCAGCTGTGTAGTCTTTCCGGAGCCGGTCTCCCCCACCAGTACGACAGTCTGGTTGCGCTTGATGAGCTTGAGGAACTCTTTCCTTCCACCAGCTCTGGAGTTTAGGGCTTGACAGGGTTAGGGCTTACAGGTCATCCATTGAATGTGCAACCCTCCTCGCTTCCCATGCCGGGAGCTTCTGACGCTTCTCCAAGATCTCATAGTATCCTTAGAGGCAGCGATAAAAGAACCTGCCGTGCTCAGCGTATGCTCGAAGCTCTCGATGCCAAGATGCTATCTGAGTACTCCCTCTCTGTGAGAGGATTTATCTTGGGTTCACCATCAGTCTTCGCCTTCCATCAACAAACGCACTGATCGATGCTTTGGCGTCTTCATCTTGCAGCAGACTTTGGCTTATGGGATCTTCCGGGTGTTTCGCATGCACGGGCGTGCGGCCTTCTTGGCATCCGGAGTTTCGTAGAGCTCGGCAGGTCTCTTAACCGTGCCCGGAACCTCTTCGCCAGCCATGGCGAGGATGGCCTAGCAGGGCCTGGCCGGCCTATGCGTCCTAATCCTTAGCCTCCATAGGTATTCTTAGCTCGGCGATTCCCAGAGGAATTGTTCGCTGCGTGTGTTCCCTTCTATTTTGCTTGACGTCTGCAGCGACGAACAACATCTGTGGATGTGCTTTGGGAAGGAGAGGTGCCAAAACACTGAAGATCTCACTCTTGCACTGAGTAAGCCTCCTGCCATGTTCATGTCTCATCACTATGTCAAAGCTTCGGAAGCAGCAGCAGTGAAGAAGAACTACATGTCACACTGTGTCAGGTCCAACCCTACTGCTGAACAACAGCTGCAAAGTCGAACAATGCAAGTGACAAAGCACTCAGCTCAAGCCCCAGGCGGATTGCGACCGGCTCCTGGACAAGAGTCTTCAGCGAGTCTCCAGAAGCGCAGGACATCGCAGGACTTGCACCCTGAGAAGGATGATCCAAGTCCTTGGCACCTTGTCGAGGTGGCTTTGTTGTGCCTGCGTGCTTGTGCTTTCGTCCAGGCTCCATACACGCCAGCCACACATAAGCGCCCGCCTCTCGAACAGAGATGAGCTCTAGGCGCAGGCCCTGCACAAGACGGGTGTTGCAAAGATAGCGTCCGCGGCCATGCCAACATCTGCCAACTGTGCAACTCCATGACTCCGCCTTGCTGAGACTGGCAATCGTCAGCCGACGCTGATGTGGCGAAGCTTCAGCCAAGGCCTGGAAATGACAACTGGACTCACCGAGGACGTTGTTCCGGTTTTGCCACAAAGCCGTGACAGCAGGGGGGCTTTGATTCAGTCTTGCCTGAGCGCTCCCGCAAGCAATGATTGGTTTACTCCCTGTGAATATTATTTAATTATTCGGACACCGAGAATTGATGTAAGGAGGTGCCTTGCAAAGCCGAAGGCTGGCTTTTGCAAGGCTCTTCCTTGCCTGCGACCAGCGAGTGTTGACAAGCCAAGGGAGACAACGTTTCTGGACGTAGGGATGCCTTCTCGGCAGCACCTCGCCGTCGGCCAACAGGATCTGCCTGTGGCAAACACGGCTCAGTAATTATTTTCTCCCCTCCGCTCCATTCACAGCGTATAGCAGAAACAAAGGTGAGAAGATGCCTGCCGCTTGCACTTGGAGCACCTTCCCCAGCATCGACGTTCACATGTTTTATGCATCAATTCATGAGAGGCGGGCCTATCTAGATCCTTTAGCAAAAGAAATCATGAGCAGGGCCAGGGGCTTGCAGACTCTTCCCGTGCAGACTCGTGCCCATCGTCCAGCCTTGGCCTTGTGCCCACCAGAGCAAATTTCGTATCGAGTTGCATCCTTAGCTCGCGCCAAAGGGACGTCTTGTCAAAAGCATGGGCGGAATGGACATAACGTGCAATGATTCACGCACCAAGCATCTTGGGTTGCGCCATGGAGCGCGTAGCCCGGGAGAGCCTGACTCAGCCCTCCCGGGCCTCGGCGTTTGACGAACGAAGAATTTCTGCCAACGGAAGCACACAACACATGGCGAATCCTGGCATGCCTGTCGTATGCAGCTCAGTCCGAGGCGTAGAGATACGCTGGATAGTAATAATATCGATAGCCTGCAACGACCCAACACGAGCACGAGAACCGGGATACGGCACACCACCTGACTGTGCGTTCGAGAGATCCTCGGCCGATCCTACCTTCATAATGGAAGTCGCTGCTCATCTGCATGATCTGGCAATGACCTTCAATAGAAGACGGCTTTCGGGAACTCGAAGCTTTGCGACCAAGAAACATGCACCAGTCTCGCACTGAGGCTACGGCTGGCTTCACCAAGCAAGACCAAACTGTCCAAATTGATGGCAGATTCGAACGCAAACATGGCGGGATAATGTCACCTGAGCTGCTGGGTTTCGCTGTCGTGCACCAGCAAGCTTCGATGTGGGTACTGAAATCATGCAGACACTGCCGGCCTTTCGTGAGGGAGCTGAGGAGCTGGCAAGCCCACGAATGGGGCGCTGGAGCGCTTCGCAACTGTGAACGGAATGGCTCCCGCAATTTAGGATGACGCACGTGCTGCAGCGACTGCGGTGCAAGTGATCATGTCGGCGATTATGTCACGAGGACGCGGAGCTAAAGCCATGGCGCGTCATCGAGTCCATGGCAATAGCATTTGGATTCAAAAACCAAAGTTTAGCCGCACGGCCAACATAACCAACATGCCAAACTTCATCTTTCCACAATCAGCCAGAACCTCTTGCGACACGGAGCTGCAAAAAAATCTAAACATGCCGTGACAGACTTGTAAACGTTTGCTCACACCAGTTTTACGGCTCTCGCAACTTGATCCAAATATCCAACACAAAAAAAACAACACAAGCCAGCGGCTGTTTTTCACGGCATGTTATCTTGGACACATCAAAGTCGGAACGCTAAGACACTCCGCCACATTTCAATCGAATATTTTCTACAACATTGGTTCTCTGTCGATCAAGCATTCGAACGTGCTGTCAGTCTATGCATGTTGAGCATTGCCTGTGGCAGGTGTGCAACATTGGATACTGTTAGCACACTGCAACGTTTACGTGTGCACGTAAGTAGCAGTACACTTGAGGGCCTGTGCGTTGAAGCCATTTTCTCTTCACTTTTTCAACCCCAGTTTCGGGCTCACAAACCTGGACGGAAGATTGCTGAGGCTGCCAGTGGACACTGTCACAATTCTCACACTTGGCCATTTGGCCAGGAGGAAGTACAGTTGAGGGAATTTGTGTCCACACTACATGTGAAACCGCTTTCTGGCC